CATTTTGTTTTTTGTTTTCTGAAGGCCGAAGTGCCAGAGGAAAAGGAAAGAAGAGATTGAAAAAGAGGCGGGGGGGGGGGGGGGGAGGAGCGCGCGCGTGCGCGCGCGCGAGAGAGAGAGAGAGAGAGAGAGAGAGGTCTTCCATCCGCTGGAATGGTCTTCTATTCACTCCCCAAATGGCCACAATGGTCGGAGCTGGGCCCATCCAAAGCCAGGAGCCAGGAGCTTCTTCCAGGTCTCCCATGTGGGTACAGGGGCCCAAGGACTTGGGCCATCTTCTACTGCTTTTCCAGGCCATAGCAGAGAGCTGGATCAGAAGTGGTGCAGCCAGGACTCAAACCTATGCCCATATGGGATGCCAGCACTGCAGGCGGAGGCTTTACCCGCTATGCCATGGTTCTGGCCCCAACCCTGCCTTCCTCGTGTTCCACAGCCTCAACCAGTGTCCCCAGGTTACCGTCACTCCATCCCCCCAGGAGGCCCCTGTTTTCAGTCTGCCGTGGGCCTGAAGAAGTCTCTTATCATCGCCTTATTTCTTGTGCCCTAAGTTGCTGCCTGCTTTATTTTTTTTTAAAGGAATATAAAACTATTTATTGACCACTGTTCACCAGTATTTACAATAAAGTAAACAATATACAGTTGGATAACATTCTGATTACTACAAAGTTATTTTTCCTGGCATCTGCTGAACCAGTAACCCAAACACCGCGAAGATTGAGCCTACATGTAAGGAATGAGACGGGACAAAGACAAAACATGCAGGTCAATAATTTAGATTACAACCACTTGTTTACCCACTTATGCCAGCAGGTCCTAAAATGCCAATGTCTAACAATCTGATCAGGTTTTCAGGAGCCAAGTCTTAGTCATTCCATGAATCATGGCCTTTTAGTCGATACAGCATAGGGATTTTGGCGTTTGTAAAGTAATGGCTCGCTAGAACAAATATTCAAATGTCCATTTACCTTGCTTATTTAGTTTATTACAGCACACCAGGATGTCTATTTTCTGATCTCAGGAGGGATGACTACTAGTACCAATAAAGTTTTTATAAGCCATTGCATTTATGACTATAGATTTAGATACAGGTTCTGATATGGCTTCTTTTAAATTATCTAATTTAACTTGTCCAAATGACTTACAAACTATTTAATTTAAAAGGTTATGGCTTCATGAAAATCTTCAGTTTAACTTGAAGGGACTTATTTCTTAGGTTGCTCAGAATGATGGAACCTCAGAAACATGGGTCTTCCCATGGTTTTTCTTTTGGTAAAATTTAAAAACAAAAACAAAAAAAGAAAACCATTTATAAAAGTATACACATACAACAACCCAGAATGATCCTTTAGTATCAGTTAAAATCAAGTTCTGATTGAAGAACTGACTATGACAACTTTCCCCAATATTCAGAAAAGCAAACGTTCTTTTCTGATAAAGGAAGCAACTACAGAAAGCTTTTATCTGTTAGAAGTAACCAGTGCCATCGATGCAAAAAATAAAAATAAAAAAATTCACAACAACTCCCCCAATACTACTTTCAAAACCAATGTATCAAACTTGATTTTCATTAGAATGTAGTTATTTCTTCACACTAGTAAATCGAAAACCAAGACCCAGATTTTATATATATATATAAATATATATTAAAAAACAATGCAAACAATTACTGAGCTTCATCTTCTGGACAAGAATGCCAAGTTAATCTCTCTTCATAAAAAGCAATCACAATCTGAGGACATTTCATATTTGCCTCTTTTGCCAGCACCAAGTCAGCCTCATCTGAATCTTTCCATTTCATGAGAAACATCAATTCTCCACTGCTGTCTGTGGCACCAATTATTCGTTCAGGTTCAAGACCTCTGGCAAAGCCTCTTGGTTTGTCAGCAGCATCTCTCTTCTTTGATTTGCTATCATCAGATTCACTGTCAGATAAAGATTTTCTTTTTGTACCATCTTTTTCTTTACCAGCTTTTTGAGAATTAAGAAATGCTTCAATTAACTCTGGACAATCTAAATTTTCTTCAGGTTCCCAAGTATTGTCAGCATCTGTAAATCCCTTCCACTTCAGGAAATACTCCACCTTCCCATTCACTACACGTAGGTCCAATACTTTCTCCACCACAAATTCTTCAGGCTCTGCCTCTTCGACCTTTTTACTCTTTCCATTCTGTTTCTTTCCCATTTTTTGCAATGTAGTTTTATTGGAGGCCATTTTTTATTGCAGACTTGAAGAGCTATTATTCACCGCTCCGAGCTGCTCCGGGTCGCGGGGCTGCAGCATCTCCGGCCCTGCGCGCCTCAAGCTCCAGCCACATCCCGCTGCCTGCTTTATATCCCCATTATTCCATAGAGATAACCAGGTCAGCAATTTCTCATTCCCCCTCCCCTCTATGGTTTTAGCTAAGTTTTCTGTTTTCTCTTTGTGCCATAGAACTTTCTAGAATGCTGTCTTCTCTTTATTCCATGTCCATAGAAGAAGATAGGAGGGGGGCTTATTGCGTCACTCCTGGCACTCTTTGGCTGGCAATGGTAGAACTTCAAGCCTGCCCTCATGTCACACCCCCCTTACAGCAGGGACTGGTTCCTCTGCTACAACCCAGAGGATGCTGGGAGTGGGCAGTGGCGTGTTAGGCCTCTTAAAGCCTCCTTGTTAATTTTCTTTCTTTTTTTTTAGATTTAATTTATTTTATTTGACAGGTAGAGTTATAGACAGTGAGAGAGAGAGAGAGAGAAAGGTCTTCCTTGTGTTGGTTCACCCCCCAAATGACTGCTATGGCTGGTGCGCTGCGCCAATCTGAAGCCAGGAGCCAGGTGTTTCCTCCTGGTCTCCCATGCGGGTGCGGGTGCCCAAGCACTTGGGCCATCCTCCACTGCCTTCCCTGGGCCACAGCAGAGAGCTGGCCTGGAAGAGGAGCAACCAGGACCAGAACCGGCGCCCATATGGCATGGATCCTCCACAGGCGGAGGATTAACCAAGTGAGCCATGGCGCCGGCCCCCCCCCCCTTTTTTAAATATTTATTTATTTATTTGAAAGAGTTAGAGAAGGAGAGGCATAGAGAGAGAAAGAGTGAGAGGTCTTCCATCGCTGGTTCACTCCCCAGATGGCCGTAATGGCCAGAGCTGCACCGATCCGAAGCCAGGAGCCAGAAGCTTCTTCCAGGTCTCCCATGTGGGTGCAAGAGCCCAAGCACCCAGACCATCTTCCATTGCTTTCCCAGGCTATAGCAGAGAGCTGGATTGAAGTGGAGCAGCCAGGACTCGAACCGGCGCCCATATGGGATGCTGGCACTGCAGGCGGCGGCTTTACCTATTGTGCCACAGTGTGGGCCCCACTAATTTTCTTTTCATACATCCTGAGGGCCATGTCTTCCTCTTACTCCATGGACATAACCTACTCCCATGTTTCTTAAGCCAGTTGTTTGCTTTTTTTTTTTTCCTATGCTTTCAGCCCCAAGTTCAAAGGTTTGCTACAATAACACACCCAAATGTTGCTGGTCCTCTCTTGGGTCCACCGTCTACTGGGTCCACGCCAGCACATCCCAGGCGTCCAGGGCTGGCTGAGATTGTCTAGTCTCACCTGTTTCTCAGAGTCCCTCCTGGGTTCTCAAAGCCACCACCCCCAGCTGGTCAAGTCCTACTAAGGCAGCCAGGTGCAGGCCAAGGAGGACACTAAGATAGCTCCTTGTGCAGGGGTGTGTGGGGGGGTGGCCTGGGGCTCTGGGGCAGGAGGGGGCTGGGCACATCTATCCCAGCCTGGGGGGAGGATGCCATCCCATACTCAAGTTACAAATGAAGCAATGGGGGCTTGGCGGGCTGGGCTGGGGTGGGGTAGTGGTGGGGGGGATTAAGGGATTTCTGTCTCCAGAAAAGGACTGGAAACCAGGGCAGCTGGATTCTGAGGCTTTGCTTCTCCTGCCCTGTCCTGCTGCTTCTCACAGGCCCAGGCTTTGGAAATGGACTTCTTGACTCAATTTTGAAAGGATTTCAGGCCAGCGCCGCGGCTCACTAGGCTAATCCTCCGCCTTGCGGCGCCGGCACACCGGGTTCTAGTCCTGGTTGAGGCACCGGATTCTGTCCCGGTTGCCCCTCTTCCAGGCCAGCCCTCTGCTGTGGCCAGGGAGTGCAGTGGAGGATGGCCCAAGTGCTTGGGCCCTGCACCCCATGGGAGACCAGGAGAAGTACCTGGCTCCTGCCATCGGATTGGCGCGGTGCGCCGGCCGCAGCACTCTGGCCACGGCGGCCATTGGAGGGTGAACCAACGGCAAAAGGAAGACCTTTCTCTCTGTCTCTCTCTCTCTCACTGTCCACTCTGCCTGTCCAAAAATAAATAAATAAATAAATAAATAAATAAATAAATAAATAAAAAGGATTTCAGACACCCAAGAGGCCGCATGAACAGCTTTCTGATCGCACTTCCCCGAATGCTAGCATCTCAACTCATCACAGTACAATGTCACCATTCACTCACCTGCACGTCTCAGTCACCCCTCATCAATGATCCCACTGAGGCTCTCGTTCTGGGACGGGACCCTGTTGGGATCCCACCTTACCGCATCTTTATAAAATGGGGTGCTCTCAGGGGTGCTGGCAACAGCTAACCTCTGGGGATCTGCAGGATTCATTTGTGAATAGGACTGGCAGCCTTTCCCTCCTCATAAAGACTGCCTACCTCACAAGGCTCCCCTGGGGTCACAGAAAGATAGCGTAAGCTAGTGCTGGGGCTGCATGCAGGCACAGTGGGATCCAGCAGCAGAAATCTGTTGCAGGTCGGTGGCAGGGAGTCAGGAGAGGCTGTCACTAGAGCAACCCCCGTGACGGTCACTGGTGTGTGAGCACAGCTGGAACCCAAGGTAGGCACACAGCCCGTGTCACTCTTGTTCCCTGCAACCCTTGGCCAAGTTTTACCTCCTCCACCGCCTTCCCATCGGCAGCGCCCTCTACCTGCCACACCCGGCATAGCAGAATGGATCCCTGCTGGCCGTTTCTTCCCTGCTAGGTGAGGTGGAAAGGCTGGGGGAGGGGTCTCCGCAGCACGAGGTTGAGGGGGCTTCAATCTCTGCCTCAATGCAGGAAGGGCCCCTCCCGGGAAAGCCTGTGCTGGCACGCGAGTGACCAGCTGCTTGCCGCCTGCTGGCTGCCGGCGTCGCCCTCCCTGGCAGGTGCATCTGGCCCAAGAAGCTTCTGCGGCTTCAGAGATGGAGGGAGGCCGCTGGAGGGTCTCCCTGCTGGTGCTGATGGCCCTGACCCTGGTGGCCAAGCTGGGCCACTTCCAGAGATGGGAGGGGTTCCAGGAGAAGCCGATGAGCAAAAAGAACATGAACTCGACGCTCAACTTCTTCATCCAGTCCTACAACAACAACAGCAACGACACCTACCTGTTCCGGGTTCAGAAGCTCATCCGGAGTCAGATGCAGGTTTGTGCGTGGGCTCTCTCGCCTGGACCCTCACTCTTGGTGCCTGTGGACAAAGGATGGTGACTCAGGTCGGGGAGCAGCTTCCCTCCGACTGGACACTTTTTTTTTTAAAGATTTATTTATTTACTTGAAAGTCAGAGTTACACAGAGAGGGAAGAAGAGGCAGAGAGAGAGAGAGGGAGAGAGAGAGAGAGAGAGAATCTAATTGGAAACTTTTTTATTGCTCCAACCTTCCTTCAATGTCAGCTAGTAAATTATAAGTTAGCGTAGTCATAATACCACATGTTGGTTCAATTAGCTGGGTTTTTGGCAAAAAACTGATGAGGAGAAACCGACAAGGAGGTGGCTGGGGGTGGGGAGGAGGTGGCCCAGAAATGGGGGGTCTGATCATCTGGGCAGACTTGTCAGGCGGGTCCCTGTTGCAAGTACACACTTGTACCACAAGGTGGCAGTGCAGCACGTGTGTCTCCTTTTCGCTGACCGGTTTTCCTGCGGCGGGCTGATTCCCATCCGTTGGTCTCCTGTGATTTAACTGTTGGCTCCTGAGTCCACTTGCGATGTCACTCAAATTGATGAGTAGACACGGCAGGCCCGCCCCTGGGTAACTGGGGGATCCTAAGATCCTGCAGAGAGGATGGAAGGTGGACCTGGGTGGGCTGCCTCTCCTGGCCCCAGGTCCCCCTGCGGTTTGGTGATCTGCCTATCCGATAGTGAGATCCCGGTCACTCAAGTGATACAGTCTCCAGACCTTAGTTTACTCCTCTGAAAGATGGGTCAGAATAAGAGGCGCTTGCTTAGCAGTGCCCTTGTGAAAGCATTGCTGTTACTCTGTGGCTGTTCCTAGTCTTACTTAGCAATCAGGTCTTCGCTGGGAGTGAGGAGGACACTTTAAACACTGGAGTGTCAGTGCAACCTGTTAGCAGTCACGTCCAGTGACGAATGAGAAAACCCTTTAAGATCTGTAGTGTGGCTGGTGTTTCAGTGTTTTCCTATGGTGGGGGGAGGACGGAAGGTGGGAGGGGGAGAGGGCAGGCTCCCCCTCCCACCTGCCCACGCCCCAAATGTCTACAGTGCCTGGAGCTGTGGGGGCTGGTATGAGTACTCAGTTCAGGTCTCTCACATGGGTGGGGTGGCAGGAACCCAGTGACATGAACCATCACTACTGCCTCCCTGGGTCTGCAGGAGCCTAGAATCAGGAGCTGGAGCCAAGGACGGAACTCAGGTACTCTGATGTGAGCTGTGGCATTTTAACCATGAGGCCCTGACAGCTTCAAAGATGGACCCTGCTGCCTCTGGCGCCACCCCAGGAGGACCACGCCGTCTCCCGGGCTGGGGCCACAGCTATCTGAGTGAGGAAGCAGGGGCTTCTCTGCGCACAGGTGCACATTTTGGTGGCCAACATGGAGCTAGGATCATGGGATTTCAGTGCCAGGGTTTCACTCCCCTGCCCACGAAGGCTCCCCATCTTCCTGCCCTCGAGTCTCCAAAGCCTCCGTCTTGATCATGAGCCAAGGGGGACAAGTCACAACCGATCGGGATGGCACTGGGGTGGGTTCCCCACGGCTAACGCAGCCAACTTGTCCCCTCCCTTCAGCTGGCAGTTTTCTCCCATTTTCTTTTAAAGATTTATTTTATTTACCTGAAAGACAGAGCCAGAGAGAGAGCCAGAGAGAGAGAGAGAGCGAAATCTTCCATTTTCTGGTTCACTCCCCAGATGGCCACAATGACCAGGATGGGCCAGGCCAAAGCCAGGAGCCAGGAGCCTCCCCAGGGCCATCTCCCACATGGATGCAGGGCCCAAGCATGTCTGCTGTCCTCCTGGGTGCATTAGCAGGGAGCTGGATCAGAAGCAGAGCAGCCAGGACTCAAACCAGTACCCATATGGGTGCCGGTGTCTCAGGCTGTGGCTATAGCTGCTATGCCACAGCAGAGGCCCAGATTCTCCCATTTTCTAGAAAAATAAACTGAGGCTGAGGGACCCATCCAATGCATCTAGGTTCACAGGGGAGGGAACCAGACCTGACCTCGAGTGCAGTTCTCTGTTCTTCTGTTCTGTTGCTCTCCACACTCCATAGCTGCCCCAGAGGAATATCCCGGATACTTTTGCTAAGACATCTAAAAATGTGTCATGATAAGATTTAGTAAAACCTCTCCATATCCATTAAGGGGAACACAGGCTCCTGTCAACTCCATGGGCAGGCACAACTGTTATTTGTACTCAGTAAGTAAAGAAATTGTACTGGCTGAGTCGCTTATTCAAGGTCACAGAGGGAGGGCCTAGGGAGGCGGGGAGACACATGGCCCATGTCCATTTGGTTCTCAGACTCAAACTTCCTTCTGGTCTCCCACGTGGGTACAGGGGCCCGAGCACTTGGGCCATCCTCCACTGCTTTCCCAGACGCAATAGCGGGGAGCCGGATCGGAAGTGGAGTGGCCCGTGATGCGAACCGGTGTTCGTATGAGATGCCGGCGCTGCGGGTGCCACAACACAGGCCCCCAGAGTTCTGCCTTAGTTGCTAGGCAGCCTCTCTCAGATTGGCAGAGATGGAGAGGAGGGAGGGAGCCCTTGGCAGGGTGGGGTTGCTGCTCCGGGGGGGCTTCATTCGCCGTCCCAGAATCTCCGGGAGAGAGTACAAAGTCACAACTGACAGTGGCATTGCTTCTTGGCAGCTGACCACGGGAGTGGAGTACAAGGTCACGGTCAAGATCGGCCGCACCAAATGCAAGAGGCATTCCAAGAAGAGCTCTTCCTGTCCCCTGCAAAGCAAGAAGCTGAAGAAGGTGTGTGCTGGGAGCCATCACAGGGGGATGCATGGCCGGGGGTGGAGAATGAACATTTACAAAAGTGCTCTGCAGGCCTGGCGCTGCCCACTCCTCCACAGGCACCCAGGGCGGGAAGAAAGCTCCATGACCAGGGTGGCGTCTGGTCACCTGGCTTCCTTTGCCACCTGAATGTGGTGGGGGTGAATGCAGTGTTGCTTTCTCCTGGGTGCCTTTGTTCTGGAATCATCTCACGCTCTCCAGGTTTCTGAGTATCGTCCTGTTTACTCCTTGTCTTCCAAGTTCTGCCTGCCTTGGCACCAGCCGCAGGTTAGCAGAAGATAAGAGGGCACCTCTGCTCACCTTGGCTGCAGGTGCAAGGGTCAGGGGTGCAGTAGGACAAAGCCATCGTGCCTTGCTGTCACCCCAGGGTCTTGCTAGGCTGCAGCTCCAGGTGCACCTGCTGCTGGGCATCCCGAGGGGCCGAGCAGCTTCTCCTGGCTCCCCGCGGGGTCAGTGAGCAGCCACAGAGGCGGGACCTTGGGGACAGGACACGTTGGTTGTCCCAGAGCTGATTGCTTCTTTTCTCCTCTCAGAGTTTGATTTGCGAGTCTCTGATATACACGGTGCCCTGGATGAAGTATTACCAGATGTGGAACAACTCCTGCCTGGAAGACTGAGCGCTGTCAGGAAGTTCTGGGAGGCCCCAGACAGCTGCGTGGTCCCCTGTGTCATAAAATCCTAAAGGACATCGTCTCCCTTGTTGGAGTCTCACCACACACACACACGTGCAAGTGCACACACAGGCCAACTGTCATGACCCCCATACACCCGGAAACACTCACACGAACACCCTCATAATACTCTTTCACATACACACTCACAGCTCTCACACATGCGTGCAAGCACACACATGTGCAAGTGCACACAGATACGTGTGTGTAAACATACACAGGCTGTTATGACCCCCCACACACACCCAGAAACACTCACACAAAAACCCTCACACACACTCTCACACACATACACACATTTGTACACACAGCTCTCACACGTGCAAGCACACACATGTGCAAGTGCACACAGATGCATGTGTGTAAACATACACGGCTGACTGTCACAACCCCCCACAGAAACACACTAACACCCTCACATACTTGTACACACTCAGCTCTCACACATGCAAGCACACACATGTGCAAGTGCACGCAGATGCATGTATGTAAGCACACACAGGATGACTGTCACAACCCCCTCCACAAAAACACTAACACCCTCACACACACACTTGTGCACACTCAGCTCACAATGTGCAAGCACACACATGTGCAAGTGCACACAGATGCATGTATGTAAACAAACACACAGGCTGACTGTCATGACCCACACACACCCAGAAACACTCACACTAACACCCTCATAGTACTCTCTCACATACACACTTGTACACACAGCTCTCACATGTGGGCAAGCACACACATATGCAAGTGCACACAGATGCATGTGTATAAACACACACAGGCTGTCATGACCCACACACAACCAGAAACACACTAGCGCCCTCATACACTCACACACACACACACACACACACTGACCTGAATGCTGACCACCTCTCTGTGGCTTTTCTGGATTCCTGCACACCCCTGACCTCTGACCCGAGGGTGCAGGAGCCTCAGTCTCTGTGCACACATGGCACGGCGGCTCCCCCATGCCACAGAGATGTGTCTGAGATGGAGACAAAGCCAGAGTGACCGATTCTCTAGAGGACTCCCAGGACAATCCTACTCAGGACTGTGGCTTTTATTTTTTAATTTTATTTTATTTAAAAGGTAGAGTTCCAGAAAGAGCCAGGTGCTTCTTCCAGGTCTCCCAGGCAGGTGCAGGGACCCAAGCACTTGGACCATCTTCTGCTTTCTCAGGCTATAGTAGAGAGCTGGATCGGAAGTGGAGCAGCCGGGACTCGAACCAGCGCCAATATGGGATGCCGGCCCTGCAGGCAATGGCTTTATCTGCTATGCCACCCCCAGGGCGGTGGTTTTATTACAGGACAGGAAAACTAGTGCAGGGAAGAAGCACAGGGGTGGGGACAAGACCAAGGAAGCCAGGCGGGAGCATTCAGACCTTCCTGCTGTGCAGGCACACGGGGTGTGCCTGCTTGATCCTCCCTTCCCCCACAGCGAGCTGCCACAGCATGTGTGAAGTGTGGTCCTCCAGGGAAGCTCCTTAGGGGCTCAGCGTCCAGGGTTTCAACATGGGGCCAGTCATGCGGGCAGCCTCTGCCATGCATGTGCCAGTCCCTGGTCCAGAGTCCCACTCCCAGAAGGAGGGCAGGCATCGGGACAGACAGTGTAGAGGCACTGGGATCCTTGTCGCCTGCAGAGAGAGAGTTTGCCCGCAGTGCCAGCACCAGCTGTCTGTCATCCAAGTCCCCAGCTCCAGCCCAGGCCAGTCTTGCTCAGATGGACGTGTGAACTCTTGGGGCGAGGGAATGACACCCATGCTCTCCCAGGGAGAAACCAGACTGGAAACGGGGCTCTGGCCAATTGTGGCCTTGACCATTTGGCCTCCAGCCCAGGCCCCGTCTCAGTGGCCATGTGAGGGCATTGGTAGAGGGGGACAAAATATACACAAGCAGGGACCTCACGCTTGCAGAGGGACAAAGGGTGACAGCTAGTGAAATTCCTGTGTCGATCTGATGTCACCAAGGGCTGACCGGGTGCTGGACACCACCCCGCTGCCTCCTTATCTCATCTGACCATCTCATCTCAAATGCAGTAGAAACAGCGACTTTTGCATCCACTTCATGGGCAAGGAGGCTCCTGAGGTAACCTGTGTTCAGTTGCTAACATCCCACTCGGGCTGACCTCATGATCAAAGCTATATACACGTAGTCCTACAGTGTATTCTTCGATTTCTGGCTTCTATATATATTTTTAAAATTTTTAAAATTTATTTGAAAGGCAGAGTTAGAGGGGGCATCTTCCATCTGCTGGCCCAGCTGGGGTTGGGCCAGGCTGTGGGCCCTCTATGCTGCCTTCTCTGCCCTCAAGCCACCCCAGACCACAGGGTCAAGGGGATCAATGGCCCCTGGGAGCCATCCTCAGCCAGAACTGACTGGAACTAACCGGGAAATGCCCTTACTCCTTCTGCCATGAGGTAGGTGAATGGTGTGTGTGTGCACACGCGCTCTACAGTGCTTCCTAGTGCTCACCTGTGGGATCAAATCCCATGTTTTTGCCTGAGCCAGGTCAGGATGAGATCTTCCTCTCTCTACTGGTGAGTGAGGATGGACAGGACAGGGGGGTCATGAGGAGGGACACTCCCCAGGAGGGAGTGGAGTGGGAGACCCCGTGACCGTATTTAAAATGCCAGGAGGAGGACACTCCCCACTGCTGACGGGTCGCTCCTCTAATTTATTGATCATGCCTAGTGCATTGTCAGTGCTAGGGCAGCAGCCGTCAGAGTATATGAACGCACCTCAACAAGCTCGTGCAAAATGGAACTGGAAGTGTGCTTGGGTGCAAACCTTTTTGAAGTCCACGCATAGCTTTTTCATAATGTGCGTGTTCCTCGACTATTTCAACACACCCTCACGTTGTTTGAGGAGTAATGATAAAGGGGGAAAGACTGCAGGTGCTTAGAGTGGATACAAGTGCTGTTCTGTGAAAGCATTGCACCCAAGGCTGGTTGATTCCTTGCGTGCAGAAGCAGAGGGTCAGAGCGCTGACTATACTCAGAGATAGTGCCTGGCTGTTCAGTTAACTGTGAGCGTCTCTCCTCTTCCCCCCTCTCCTTCTCCTCATCTTCCCCAGCCTATTTTAAAACCTAAGGAGTTGGGGGCCGGTGCCGGGCTCACTTGGTTAATCCTCCACCTGTGGCACCGGCATCCCATATAGGCGCTGGGTTCTAGTCCTGGCTGCCCCTCTTCCAGTCCAGCTCTCTGCTGTGGCCCGGGAAGGCAGTGGAGGATGGCCCAAGTGCTTGGGCCCCTGCACCCACATGGGAGACCGGGAGGAAACACCTGGCTCCTGGCTTCGGATCAGTGCATCACTGGCCGTGGCAGCCATTTGGGGAGTGAACCAATGGAAGGAAGACCTTTCTCTCTGTCTCTCTCACTGACTGTAATTCTACCTGTAAAAAAAAAAAAAAAAAAAAAAAAAAAAAAAACCTAAGGAGTCAGGGCCGGTGCTGTGGTGTAGCAGGTAAAGCTGCCGCCTACAGTGCCGGCATCCCGTGTGGGCACTGGTTCGAGTCCCGGCTGCTCCACTTCCGATCCAGCTCTATGCAATGGCTCGGAAAGCAATAGAAGATGGCCCAAGTCCTTGGGCCTCTGCACCCTCGTGGGAGACCTGGAAGAAGCTCCTGGCTCCTGGCTTTGGATCAGCGCAGCTCTGGCCATTGTGGCCATCTGGAGAGTGAACCAGCAGATGGAAGACCTCTCTCTCTCTGCCTCTCCTTCTCTCTCTGTGTAAATCTGTCTTTCAAATAAATAAATTAAATCTTTAAAAAAAATCTAAGGAGTTCCACTTGCTATGAGCATGTGGTTGAGGTTCTACCATCATGGATGTGTGGACAGCAAGGCCAAAGATGATTCATGTTGATTCATTTGGACCCCAAAGCTGCCCTGGCCCACCAGACCCTTAGATTATATTATTATTAGCAGCAGAATCTGGGGAGAAAAGAGGAAATAGGGGACTCCGAAGCACTAAGACCACTAACAGGGCAGGGTGACAAGTGTTTATTGTCTGCTGATTGCAATCACTGTGGACACACACATGGCGATGGCAGGTGCCTCCTCAGATACTTCAAACACTGCTGCAGTTTTTGTTCACAATTTTGTACTTTTCCAGCCAAGGGTCAACAATGACGACGAAGAGACACTGGATTTGCTAAAACAAAAACACAAAAACCCAGAAGGCAATGTTTGAAAAAGATCAGTGTGCAAGGTGACAGTACCCTCAAATGCTCACCTGTGGGATCAAATCCCAGGTTTTTGCCTGAGCCAGGTCGGGATGAGATCTTCCTCTCTCTTCTGGAGGTGAGTGAGGATGGACAGGACAGGGGGGTCATGGAAGGGTCAGACGAGGACACTGCACCCTCTCTCCACCTCCCTCCGAGCCAGACCTGGTTTGGCATTTATTTTGATCTCAGTCACTTGGCAGTAACATTGCCAGGATCGTTCCAGAAAATGTCCTCCTGCTGTGGTCAGATTTGCAGAGGAGAATAAAGTGACCCCAGGAGATACGGGTCATTTTTGTCCTCATTTTTCTTTTGTCCTCATTTTTCTTTTTTTTTTTTAACAGATTCAATATGGTTCGTAGATACAATTCTTTTTTTAAAGATTTTTTTAAAAAAGATTTATTTATTTGAAAGTCAGAGTTACACAGAGAGAGAAGGAGAGGCAGAGAAAAGAGAGAGTCTTCCATCTGCTGGTTCACTCCCCAACTGGCTGTGATGGATGGAGCTATGCTGATCCTAAGCCAGGAGCCAGGAGTTTCTTCTGGGTCTCCCCTGTGGGTGCAGGGGCCCAAGCACTTGGGCCATCTTCCACTGCTTTCCCAGGCCACAGCAGAGAGCTGGATCAGAAGTGGAGCAGCTGGGACTTGAACCAGCATCCATATGGGATGCCAGTACTGCAGGTGCTGGCTTTAACACTACGCCACAGCTCCAGCCCCCTCATTTTTCTTTTTACTTCACATCTTCATTTAGCCTCTGCTGGTTTTCTCTCTTCTTACTTCTTTCCTCCCTCTTTTCTTTCTATTCATCTACTCATGTGTGTATGCATGCATGCATCCATTCATCCATGCATTTATCCATCCATCCATCCATTTATCCATCCATCCACTTTTCCACATGCACTTTTCAGCTCCGTTCACCCACCCACCGGTTCCTCCTCCTATCCATCTTTGCTGCCTAACCTGTTTCATTTGTCCACATATCCACCTATTCATTGCAGTCTCTCTCTCCTTTCTTTCTCCTTGTTTCCTCCAAATTTCCCTTTTCTTTGTCACTTCCTTTCCTTCTGATGAGAGATCAATATTTTAAGCATATTTTGCATATTCTCAATTATAATTTCTCTGTATGATTTTGTTTTCCTGCTCTTTATTTTAAAAACTTGGGATATGGGAGGGAATTGGAGGTGTAAGCATTTACATTTGTCTTAAAATAGAATTCGGGAATGGCTGGCACCGTGGTGTAGTAGGCTAGATCTCCACCTGCAGTTCTGGCATCCCATGTGGGCACTGGTTCGAGTCCTGGCTCCTCCTTTTCCGATACAGCTCTATGCTATGGCCTGGGAAGGCAGCAAAAGATGGCCAAGTGCTTGGACCCCTGCACCCATGTGGGAAACCTAGAAGACGCTCCTGGCTCTGACTTCGGATTGGCTCAGCTCCAGCTGTTGTGGCCATCTGGGGAGTGAACCAATGGATGGAAGACCCCCTCCCTCTCTCTCCCTCTTTCTGTAATGCTGCTTCTTTTTATTTTTTTTTTTTTAAGATTTATTTATTTATTTGAAAGTCAGAGTTACACAAAGAGAGGAGAGGCAGAGGCAGAGGCAGAGGCAGAGGCAGAGGCAGAGAGAGAGGCGGAGAAGAGTCTTTCCGTTCGATGTTCACTCCCAGATGGCCGACTGGCAGAATTGTGTCAAT